TACATGCTGCACATCATTAGATCATTTATAGATTCTCCACAATTCAATCCTTCACTTTTTTTTTTAATAAAAACGACAACAAACAACAAAGTATAACGTTAATTCATTCTGACTCAAAAAAACCTCTGAAGCGATAATAATCATCATGTTAGTTGTCAAATTTGCTGAACAAAATCTCAAGAGAAGCAGCAGTTAGAGTTTAGTTTAGTTTAGTACTAAAGGAATTAAACCCCTGTCCCAAATAGACACCTGTCCCAAATAGACACCTGTCCCAAATAAAGGCATGGGGAGTTCAGTGATTTAAGCAAATAAACACCCGGGTTTAATGGTACTCAAAGCCTGTGACTAAGCATAATAAAAATATCTCACTTCAGGCACACTGTACCCCCCTCTTATATTAAACAATGTTAAATTAGAATCTACAATTTTTCATGGGTCTGTTAAATGGGATATCTGTGCTCAAATATGTGACGTTTTTGGAAACTCCTGTATTACAGTAAATACAAGCTAAGCCTTTTAATACAACCCGCTGTGCATTGTAGTCTAGACACATAGTTAGCACAGGTTAAAAAATAAACAATATTAAAGTGGTATCATCACTGCAATAATAGTTAGGAATGACATGATCAGGACTGGCTATCATTCTGCATTTTTTTGTTCTTTTGGTAACCATACCATTATTTTTAAACGATTGAATAATTAACTATGATGAACAGTACAGTGGCATAGCACTGTTGGCTCCTAGGATGAAGTTTCTGGGTTTGATTCCCGGCTGGCCTTTCTGTGTAGAGTCTGCATGTTTTCTCCATGTTTCTGTGGGTTTCCTCCGGGTGCTCCGTGTTTCCCCCACCATACAGTAAGTGAGGTCCAATCAGTGCCTTGGTTTTAGGTGCCACATAGTGGCTACCCACAGCTCCTAGTACTTGGGATTACTTTCATAACTTAGATAATCAATTAATCATCACGGTATTTGACTTAAGAATCATAATGTTTAATAATATTGTATTCACAGTATGTGATCTGCATCATGGCTGACAATTGGCATAATAACTAGTAGAATTTAGTATCTGAAAAGGAAAAGCTACCTTAGGATGTTTATGCAGGTCACTGTAACATCACCTGTGATGGAATGTACTCTGTTCTCAATTTCAATGAATGTCACGTCCCCTTGATCACCTTGCTTAGAAAAGACATTCTTTGGCATCCAACTTTAAGTCAAACATTCATTCTGTACAGTACAACATGACATTTACAGTGGTAATATTTTCTCATTTATCAGGTCACCTAATTCTGACGCTGTTTTCATCTGCTGATTTCTTACAGTTGGACTCAAAGCTCAGTGGTGTGACTTTCTTCTATTGTTTTTTTTTTTTCATTTTTGTACTTGAAATGGAGTGGGACAGGTTGCCTTTTAGAACAGTTTAGCTGCATCGATTATGCTATTGAAGTACAGGTGGTATTCATCACTTAAGAAAGAAAACATTTATCATAGGTTAAGAGGGTTTGCTGAATCCAATTTTAAACACTTACATGAGCAAGAAAGAAGTAAGCCTCTTAAAGCCTTAAAGCATGAGGCCCAATAACTCAGCCAATGAGATTATTTCAGGAGCAGTTCTGCATCTGAACAATACTTCAGTCTGCCTCGTATTCATTATAACAGAGGATTGGACAGCATACCTACAGGGCAAA